AAAGGGTATTGATTAGTGAAGATTAAATAATGAAAATACTAAATGAATTTTGTTAAAACATTTTGTAGTTAAGTAATCCATTCTCATTATCATGTATTGTTATTTTTCATTAATGAATTAATGAAACAATAATATTCAATAGATACAACTTCAATGAATGAGTTCATGTCTTAAGAGACAATCTAGTAAGTGATATGAAATTATATACACTTAAAGGTCCATGTCCTAAACTATATGCTTTGAGCAATAAGCCTGAAAAATGGTACCTAATGAAGGCATCACTGTGATGCTACAGATGCTTCTAACATCAAGCTAGGAATAGTTATTCATGACTTCTAGGAAGTCTTGGATAAATTAAACATATATCTGATGATATGACAGGTCAAACAATATCCTAATAAATATAGTGATATGTTATTGGAATAATGCAAATCTAAAAGAATCACCTTATGTGATCCATGAGGTCCTTGTTTTATGGATTGAACACTTTTAAGCCTAAGAAATCTACTAAACCCACATAGATGGATCTTGTTTCTTTTGTGAAGAAACTGGTCACTGGAAAAGGATTTACTCCTCTTATTTGGAAAGAAAATCTAGAAAGACTAGTACTTCTAGTATCTACTATATAAAACTCATACTTTTCATATAACACTTAGATACTTTGTACTTAAATGTTAACCAAATATTTGTAAATCACTTGCAAATATTTCTTGAAAAGTAACTAGCTGAGCAAAGTCAAGTAGGAATCACACTCTCGGAGTTTAGTTTATTATTTATTCTTAAAACATAAATTATTTGTAATGTGAAACAATATTTGTTTTGGAACAAAATATGTTTTAACTTAGCATGTCTAAATTTATGTCTCAGTTATTTTATTCAAATGTTTGATAATTTACTTAATCGTTTTTCATAACGATAAAATTGATATCCTGAAATGATTAACTTCTATTTGTGAGACTAGATCTCTTAATAGAGTTGTGAAGTAAATATCAATATTTTTATAAATAAAATTAAGCTCTATATGTAAGCACTTTATGACTTAAAACTTATTTTAAGTCAAACTCATCTTTGACATTGTTATCTTTATTATATAAATGACATTCACATATTCTAACTTCAAGAAAGGTATCTTTGAAGGAAAATAATGTAGTTTATTTGACATATGTGAACCTTATTTATATGAAAATGATTCCTAATGATCTTTTCACCAATGTGTAGATAAAATAATTAAGGAACTATAAACCTTGGTGCATGACTTCCTTTCTAATGAATGTCTGAGATTAAACAAAAGATACCAAATCAACTTTATTAACAACTACAATAGTTTTAATTATATTTTACGTGGTAAAACATAATTGTGAAATCTTTGTTGAAGATTTCAAAAAGTTGAAAACCAGTAAGAACCATCTAAGGCCTTAATGATAATAAAGGATGAATTAAATCTTACTAGGTATGATTTGCTTTTTAATCAGTAGAAATATCCTCCTTTAATCTTTTTGGGATAATACTTCAATCACTATTAACTGTATCTTGAATACAAATACCAACTAATAAGTGGATTAGAAACTTTATAAGATTTTTATGGAAAGATTCCATCCACATCTTATTAAATTCTTTATGGATTTAAAGTTTATGTTGGACTAAAGCTTCTAAACCCAAAATTTACTAAGTACATATTTGTATAATACTCTAAATGTGGCTTAGATTATTTTATGCAAACCCACGATGGATAAGTTCTTTTATTCTTGTGAAAGCTAGGTTAGTAGATAACAATCTTCTAATCACAAAGCAAGTGGGAGGTACATAGAACTTGAAGCAGCTCAAGAACCTTAACCTTATGTAGTAATAGTTGGCACTAGTTTTAAGAAAGATTGTTAAAATTGAATAATATCTATTCACAAACACAAATTGTTCGCATTAGTGGTACAAATCATCTATGACTTGAGAAATGTGGAATCTCTCATTGATAAGCTTTTATTGATGGTTTCTGGAAAATCCATCAAATACCAAGATGTTAGATCTTGAATCTGATAAATAACTTAGACTCATGAACATGAGATGCAATCCATGCATAATTATCAAGAATGGGCTAGATTAAAATTTGTCCCGATAGCAAGGCTAGAATGAGTAAATAACTCTTCGAAAAAGAATAAATTACATGGATAACCGTACATATTTAAAGCAAGACTTGTAGTAAAAGGATTTTCTGATACTCATGTCATTGACTATGGTCCTCATCATACTCATGGCATTGACTGTGATCATACCTTTTTCACATGTAGCTATGATTAGATTAACAAGAATATTGTTTACTATAAATTTATATTCTTAATATGAGATATAGTAAATAGATTTCAAGAAAGACCGCTTTTCTTAATAGACATCTACTATAAAATATCTATATAGATTAGCCTGGAGGTTTTTTTATCCAAGTTATCCTAACAAAATGTGTAGATCTTGAGATCCACTTGTGGATATAAAGCAAACATCTCAATGTTATAATTATCATTTTATGTAAAACCATAATGTGCGTTTTTATATCAAAATGAATAGAACATGTGTGTTTACTAAGAACTGGTGGGAGCATAGTGAAATTCCTAATCTTGTATGAATGAGACATGATTAATCATTTGAAATCACATTATGACTAAGCAAGGTCATTTTTCACCTTGACTCAGATTGTGTTTATAAAATGAAAGACTTAGGAAGGAGATGATACATCTTGGAATGTAAAATCTATAAGGGATAGATAAAATGAATGTTAAAAGTTTCATGTACTTTTATATATGTTGGCAATATCTTGAAAGGGATCAAGATACAAGATTATTTTGAAGAATTATTGGCATTGTCATATGAGATCATTTTGAGCTAGCCTTAAAAGTACATAACTTATAGGTTTGAACTAGATGAAATGATTTATATTCTAATTGCTTGGAAAATGACTTCATCATTTATGCCATTGTATGCATAGGACATGGTATTTGATCATGCAGTAAATATGTCATACGATACTAATTGAATACGTGGTTAACTCATTGGATTATTATGAGAGAATTCTAAGAGTAATTTAGAAGAACTAAGAGAATGCAAATGAGATAATCAGTTTAGAAAGGATCTTTATGGAAAGAGCTACACAAGATGTTAATTTCTAAACAAATACAAATAATTATGAATTATAATTGTATTTTGACTTCATTATGGAATGAAGGGTAAGTCTTTTTGGAATAAGAATACACTACTTTAGAAGTTGAATTCAAATATGATTGGATGGATGAGATCATTGAAAAACTATGTTGATTTCTGCCATTCGAGGATCACATAGAAATCTTAGTGACTTCGAGAGTATACTTAATCAAGCTAAGAGACTTTATGTCATGAAAAAACACTAATCATATCTCCAAGATATTTAACTATACCTAGAGTAAAGTTATGTACGAAGATGATAGTATTCACAGAATTTACATAAATTAAATTTTGACATGTCCATTAATAAAATCATTCTTTTGAGCCAAGTATGATTGGTCACATTTCAGCTATAAGACTTTATTATTCTAGAAATGGGTTTTTGATTTGGATTTAGTATTTGGATATTGGAACATTATAACAAAAACTATTAGATAATGTTATGATATATTGGGATATAGTCATCACATTAATACTTGTTATGATCTATATTTACATGTTTAATCCATGAATAATGTTATTATTCTAAAAGTTCATAGTTGAGTATAATTGTGGGAGAAATTATGAAGTAAGACTAATTTGAATTGGATTGGTTGACTCTCGCTAGATGAAAGTAGGCAAGTGGTTGTAACCAAGTTTCATAGGTACTTGTCAGAGAACTAGTATTGAACTAACCTATATAAATATCATCTCATGGATCGCTATCATGAATGATACTTTATTAAAAGGTACTATCTTTGTATCCTTAACACCTGAGATACATAGTGGGACTTAAGTGTAGGGAGTACTATGCTTTGACAATAGTTAAATTTTGTTCCTTAACCGGGCAGTCATAAAATCCATTTTCAGGTATGGTGTGAACTATGCAAGAGGCTTACGTAGTCAAGATGCAATTTGTTCCTCTTATATTTTAAGAGTTAGACATCTAAGGCGCCTTACCAAAAGTTGAACAACTAATGAGATTGATCGCGATCCGAATCTCATTTTCAACATAATGTCTGTAGAAAAGGGATAATTGATAAACTTACCTTATACACCAGTTGTGGCTTTAAGCTTTTTGGGAATTGGCCATTGATAGAATGGAACAAACTGTCGTATGGTCTTAGGGGTAGTGAAATGTTGCTAGATGTTCACCACTGTCTATATCAGTCTAATATGAGTCTTACACAAGTGGGAGATTGAAAGATATAGTATGCTCAAGAGTCATATTAAAGTTATATTGCTAAATAACATATGGTACTAATGAGTCACACTAAAAACAACTTAATACAATTGATTATTTATTAGAAATTGATTTTAATAAATATTCAATAAAAATCTTATAATTAAATTGGGAATTATTTATATCTACGAAATAAATAATTTTCATTAGCAAGTAACATAATATATCATATGGTATGATTTATTAAGTCATTGACAACATTTTGGACTAGTTAAGCTTTTTGTCTTTTAGGAAAAGACAAAGTTTATATCTTATAAACTTTGAGTTTATAAAATATAAACTACCTCTTCTTCTGTATACAATTTCAAGATTTACATAAAAAGAAGAAGTGCATGACTTATCTAATCATGCTTTAAAGGAATGGGAAACACACTTATGACATGGAGACAAGTTTGTCTAAACTTGAAGGATTCAATGGTTAATAACTTCACTTTTAGGCACTATAAATATGAGG